GTTATCATTATCTCTGTCTTAATATTGAATAGTAGCTATTGTGAAAGCAGTTTTTTTCTGCTTTTATTATCGCCTAAGACCCGAATTCCAGGTGGCGAAAAAATATGTGGCGATGTAATGTTATTTTGGAATATTTCAAATAAATTTTAATATTACTCGGAAAACAGAGTTTATTGTGATTACTTTCGTTGCGTCGTAGACACAGTCTGTTGCTTTATTAGTGCACCTGGAGCAGCTGCAAAGATGTGTGTCCAAGTTGTTACTTCCTTCCCGTGCGAGAAAAAGAACTATGTCCAGCATTGGGACTTTAAGTTTTTCGGAAGTTCACGTATTTAAAATGTACATACAATAAATCAATATTTATTTTGATAGAGGAGTACAGACAAACATAGAGTGCATTTGATGATAAGCGAAAGATCCCAGCCATCTAAATAAGATGCCTGGTCGACCTATTTTCGCTTTGGCTATTCGGAAATCTACAGGCTGAAATCGCAACGAGATTGAACTTCACGCCTTTTTCACCTGTGAACGGTGATTCGTGACGTGACGGAATTTCAATATTCCCACCATTAATTTAATATCCAGATTTCCAGACGAAGACCAACATGGTTTAGAGAAATTATAAATTGTTTAGAAGAATGTAGTGGGTATCGAACCAAAGGCCCGTTGATTATTAAGCACACCTTGTTACCAATTTACCAACGAGCTCGTCAAAAAATATGAACGTAAAACGTAACGTGTGTTTATTGAGCGAAACATAAGAAAATCGATAGTACAATCCTAACGGAAAGTTTATCTTACAGTAATATGAAAGTCCTTTTAACTTTCCACTAATCACATGTACAGACTATGTACTTCGCAAATGTGTCCCGTACAAACACCCACCCCCACTTCAACAAAGTTACTCAACATCGTCGGCGCACCCTTATTTTAATTTAATTCTTATGCCGCACAGATAGAAGCTAATTTCCCCTGTACAATAACACCCTCTGTATCTTTACCACACTGTTAGGAAGCACCCCTAATGCACGCTAATGGAATCAATTTTCCGTATTTTGTAAACGAGCACAGGATTCTATGTATTCGCTCTAATTTGTTTTATTGGAAACAGTTTACGAGGAGGTATCGATATCAACCTTATTTGACTGTTTCGGAAATATCATAGAGGTTATTTATACAGAGTGTTTATTAGCTGTGGACGTACAAAATATTACAAAAAACCCTTGTTTAGATCAGTTTGATTCTTCCTTATGCAATGATATACACAGGCAAGTTGTATTAAATGGAGTCCTAAAGTTAAAATAAAAATGATTTCCTTTTTCCTGACCAATATATAATAAAATAAAAGCCTGTTTACTAAAGTAGCTCATGAGCGTAGCGTTTTTAAGTAATTATAACTTTGTTTTTACTATACTCAGTTTTACGGATGCTTTTCCTTTCAATAAATCCTTTTTTGGATGGCTTTTATACCGTTGTAATAGGTAAAATTTAAATTGCGCCAAAATACATTAAAAGCACATAAAGATTAATAAATTTGATGAACCAATGTTTACTCGAATTCACGACTCACATTGTCGATATAATGGCAGGTGAGATTCGCGTTTTGTTTGTGTATACATTTATTTAGTTACGCTTAAATTTATTTATTGTTAGAGTAATACTGAGATGACGTCATAATAGGTAAGATGTAGTAGAGTCATTTCGACGGAGTTTGGTTGTGGCATATAACTCGCCTTAAGGGAGAATCTATCGGATTAAATGGTTAACATCCTTTCTTTTTTTCAAATAATTCAGTGCTGTGTTATTTTGAGAGTAATTTTATTTAGTTTTCTGTAATTTAATTCAAGTTTAAATAAAACGCTTTAACGGTTTAAAACGCGATATATTAGTTAAACTTATTTGAAAATGATTTTTAACTAATATATCGCGTTTTAAACCGTTAAAGTGTTTTATTTAAATGTGTACTACTCGCGTAAACTATAGACAGTATTTAATTCAAGTTAGCAATGGAACCAGTTAATAATTGTTGCCTTTTTTATAATATTTCACTCGTGGTCTTTAAATATAATATCCCAACGTAAAAAGATTCACTTATGTACTCACTAGCAGTAGGTACACAGAAATACACAATAGGGGCACAGTGATTTGCGGACAGAGCGGTTGGCGTTTCATTTCCTCGGTTTCCTCAAGCCTCAAACGGACAACGTTTTAACCGCAAAACCTGCTTTAAAAATACAACCTATTTGGCACGACTGCAGACCGAAATTTGTTCACATTTAACTTGCTTTTTACAAGCAACTCCCCGGAAAGAATGACTTAATACGATGAAACTGCACTACTTGTGTAGTAGTTTATTTTTGGCTCTGTATTCTTTCAGTAATTCTTGCTAAGGTTAAGCAATTTTACTAATTATCGTTGAAAACCATACATTTAGAATTAAAACAACTGCACTTATTTATATATATATATATGAAGTCCGACAAATACAAAGTCAGATTTTGTGTTGCGTGTGGACTCTAGTGGCTCCGATGGCAAAAGCTAGTCTGTATTTATATATATTAAATAATCCCAATGGAAAGCAAATATTTTCATACATTTAACAACGATTTCAACCTCATGCTCACTTCCGACCTTTCTATAAGCCGATCGGTACATAAGCCGATTACCCTTTTCGCTACTTATCAAACCCACACTGCACTACTCTTTTCGATATATGAAGAAAGAGAGAGCATAATCATTACCATTTTAATAAGAATCCCTCCAGTATTTCAATTGTAATATAGACTAGATTATGTGTGAAAATTAATAATTAAATTAGCATATTAATTCGAATGCTCACTCAACTTACGATATACAATATCGATAAGTTGAGTTGAGTTGAGTTATATTCGAAACAAGTACCGTTTAGTCTATGTTTAGATTAAGTTCTATTTAATTAGTCTATAGCATGCTAGCAAGAGGTTATCGACAGACCTATTAAATTTAAATAAAACATTTTAACCGCTTAAAATGCTAAATGTTTTAGTTGCATTTATTTATTTTTAACTATTATAGCTAGTGGTCACGCGGCGACTCAACCTAACTTCAATTGTTTGTAAAAAAAATATTATGTCAGATATATTATGAGGAAGGAGTAATAAGTTAATATTTTCGGTTTTATTAAAATAAAATAAAATACTTTATTCTCTTTAAAATTTTAACAATTATTTAGATCCGTCAAAATGTTTTTGTTTGTCTGTTTGTTCGTCGTGATTCTACAGAGTGTTCAAAAGAGCAACATAACTGAGAAGAACACCCAAAAAACTCAGTCCGGCTTATTGTAACATCTCTTATAAACAAAAGGAGCAATTCATATTACTGCCAGGCGGTCTTGTCATTTAAGAAAAAGTTCAGATAAAAATACGTCTTTTAAGACAATCAAAATTTTATGCCTTTTTAAATTTATTTATCGATAAATTTGAAACCTCACTTGTAATGTATTAATTAGTTTACAAGTTTACCACCATTTATTACATTCCTTCATATTATCCAGTTACTACAACCTCCTGTCAGAGTGGATAGAATTAATATAAACTGCAGGTTGCGTGGCAAGAGAGCCTTCAGAAGTCCACACTTGCTAATTACAAAGGCATAAAGGCACGCGTATCAGTGGAAGTGTCAAGAAACGAATGGAACTTACAGAAATATGTGACAAGAATAATAAATGAGCCCGCTCTTTGCATATTAATGTCGCCTCTAATTTATTCTAGCTTTCACATTTTCCCGCGCTAAAAGCGTAATTTTAATGGCTACTTTGTACAATGGCATTGTCAGCAAGGACGGTCAATATTTTTTATACCTGTCTAACACAATTTTCTTTACTGTATTTTAATCGTTGAATTAGTTAGTTACTTTCGTTTAATGGTAGAATTTTTGTACCTATATTGTATGTTATTTTCTTTTAAAAAGGAGGTGTTATATTCGTTGTATTTTGGAAATCTAAAACGCGCTTAAACTTTACAGCTTTTTCATCCTTTCAAACCACGACCCATTGATTATAAGCCAGACTGCTACCATAAGACCAACGAGCACGTTAAAACTATTGCTTTGGTAATGTTGCTGTTGTAACAAGGAAAATCTCATATACGTACTGAATAGCAATTCTTGAGAAAGGAGGTCTGTCAAAGTTAACATCATATTAGCTAAGATATAATTAACAACCTACTAACGTATCTAGTCATTGTATATCTATTATACACGTTATTATGAGGCGTGTATATGAACGACGACTTGAAATCCTTTGAGGGTGGAAATTCTAGCAGCCCTCCGGTAATGAATTCTTCTCGAGTTACACCCGCCCTGTTTGTCATCCAGATATCATATTACACAGATTTGCACGACGTTACATCGTTAATAATTATATATTGTGTGGATATATTATACTGGAAATTATATTTCACTAGGAAGACATTTAGGTTGGTAAGTAGATATCTTTACTAAGTACAACCTTTTGCCAAGATTTGCATTTGTTTTTTTTTAATATAATTGATTCCGATATTTTAATTGTGTGTGTCAACTTTATATGAATCTTCGAATAAAAAAAAATATGTAGCTCTCATTTAAATAAAACACTTTAACGGTTTTAAACACGAAGTATATTAGTTAAACATATTTGACAATGCTACACCCTGAAACTACAGCCTGAAGTTTTGGATGTTTTGTGTCAGCCGTGGTCACGTGGAGACTTATTTGACTGATATATATCGCGTTTTTAAGTTTTTATTTCTATTATTAAAATGTGTACGCTCGCGTAAACTACAGACAGAATTTAGTCCAGATTTATTTAGTTCAAAAAATTGTTATTAATTTAAAATTTATAGGAATATTGTTAGTAATAGCTGAGTGTCCAAGACAAAAGACCAAGTCCCTATTATTATGAGCAATAGATTACTCCTAAACAATACAGCGGAGACCTCCTTTATTCTTGAATAGGAGGAAAAGTTAATGCCAAATGTACTCACCAGAAGCAGTTTCAAGAAGTCCTTGAGGGTCGGAGGCTTCGTCGGCAGCAACGGTTGCTACGGCAACGAGTAACATCCACAGACCCGACATCCTGCAAAGCAAAATAATGCCTCAAACACCACTATTTATAAATATTTACAAAAAACAATTAAATTAGTACAACAGGATACAAGTAAATCAGTCATGTAGATATTTTTATGATGTAGAACAGACATAGGATTCACAATGGTGCGAAATACCCCGTAAATAGGCGAAATATATTGGACCCCATGGAGAAAGAAGCCACGACTCATTCATAATTACACATACCTACATTGTTACAATTAGACCAAGGAGCACGAAGTCGGAGCTAATTTCTTTTAAAGAAAAACGTTAAAAATTTTGTGTAGTTTGATAATCAACTTTTTGATTCTTTCTATATTAAGTCATCTAAATAAGAGTGATAATATGCAAAATACTGGATTTAGTTCGTTTATACTGTGATTTAATACAATTGAATTTAAACCTAGAGATAGTAACAAATTTAGTTATAGCATCAAAGATTCGCACTGTACTGTACATTTTTTTAGTGTATCTTATCCAATGACAAATGGACAAACTACAGCAGTTGCTTAGTTGTTAATATACCTAGAACAATTATTTATTTAACTTTAGTAATTATAAACACGACAGGATTTAATTTTTAAAAGAAAAACTTATGGACTAGCTTATAAATAAAACGGCGGTCTTATAGCTAAACGGCGATCTCCAGGCTTCAGGAAGTGAAGGGAAAACAAAAATAGATAGATGGTGTTAAGGGAAAAAATAAAAAAGGACTGCAATTAAGACATTGAAAGGTAATCGATTCTCGAGCCATCCGGTGTCATAGGACCTCCTCAATAGACTTCAAGTACGACCGGTCGTTCGCTAGTTGATTCCAGCGTTTCTTTGCTACCTTAATCAGGTCCACCTAGGAGGTCATCCAGGTTTTCGACCTCCGGTACGTGGTCTCCACTCCAGAACCTTTTTGCCCCAACGGCCGTCAGATCTACGAGCGATGTGATACGAAAGGTAATATTTCTTTGTAAAATCAGGTTTTGAAAGAACGGAGAGATTGAGTAAAATCAACAAGAGACTTTAATATTTCTCACATGGTGGCACTATATAAATTAGTTATGCCTGCGTCGTATCTGGTTTTTCAAATTTATAATCGATTTTTAGTCTAAATCAACAATCTATATACCAGTCAAGTAAAAACAAATCTCCTCCCTGTTGTTCGTTCTCTGTTACAAAAGTTATTTTCTACTTATAGCTGCGGATTTATTACACATTTATAAACCGTTACAAAACATACGTGAGAGTGAATTCATAGACTGCAGAACGCTATTAACGAACAAAGAGAGTATGGATTATGGAAAGTTATAAGCCGCTTATTGAAACAATTTCGTAGTCTGTGGATCGATAAAAGCATGAGTGCTAGCCTCAGTATCAAAGCCTATATATATAAAGTTCTATTAACAGTTTAAAAAATATTAAAGCTAAAACATTTAATACAGTGAAAAGGCGAAAGAGACAAAAATATGTTGTAAAAATAGAAAATACAATTTTAAATAAAAAAAACTTTGATGGTTTAAAACGCGATATATATTAGTTAAACTTATTTGAAAATGATTTTTAACTTCGGCCCGTCGTTTCGGAACAATAGGAAGGCTTCAGATTATCAAGCACTTGGGATCCCATATTAAAAACTCCGGATCCCAATAAACAGCATACCGGCAAACGCGAGACACCGTTAATCAATTCTGTAAGGACCCGGCCAGTTTCGCCAAATACCAACTTCGACGGAACAGATGGCGCTAGCGTAGGAATTTTTACTTTGACGTCAGAGACATCTTCCATCTCAAGTCTCCCCGTGCTGCATCCGAAAAATAGGGCCGAATTTAAGAAAATTTTCGAATAGGTTTACCATTATATATCGCATTTTAAACCGTTAACGTGTTTTATTTAAATGTGTCCTACTCGCGTACCCTACAGACAGTATTAGAAAATTCTAGTCTACGATACTTCACAGCTACGCCGTAGCGCTACGAAATCGACAAGATGTGAAAGTCGAATAGTTATATTTTTTTATTACACTCGTAGATAGTTAAATAATGTTTCGCAAGACAATAGTATTTTTAGTGTTACATAAAAATGTAACAGTGACTGTTTACTTACAGTAGCTCTACGAAGCAAAATCACCTAAATACATATTGTACAATGCGATTGTTCCTCGCGAGTTTAAATTGAATTATAGAAGAAAGAAAACAATGAACATTGTGTTGCGAAATTTACGAGCAGGTATTCAGCGAATCTAGTCCGCAGTTTCTTGTGTGTATTATTAAAAATCCAATCTCAAGTACAATGTACTGAAAAGAAAAGCGAGCAATTATTCCCTGTATCCCGGTGTGCGCAATGAATTTAACATTGTAGCTACTGTGACAGATTTATTGTAGTTTATGTTGCTCCGAATTGCATTGTCCAAATTGCCTTTTTCAGTGATCATTAACTCAAGCTCCATTATCATTAACTCTTGAATAATTAATTGTCATTAATTATGAACGTCAGCAAACAACTGGTTTCATCAAAATATGAAATATTTTTCTCTTTAGTTTCTTAGGTAAAAAATACAATTGACCAAAGCAAATGTCTGTTAGGTTAACCTGATAGATGTCTATAATTAATAAAATTAATAAAGCTGAAGAGTTTCTTTGTTTGAACGCGCTAATCTCGGGAAATACCGGTTCCAATTGAAATTCTTTTTGTGTTGGTTTAGAGCATTTATAGAGGAGGTATAAACATCGCCCTGTTACTAATACAAGCGAAGATACAGCGAGAAATGTTAAAAAAATGGTAAAATGATCCACCGTTACGGGTTTCCGAGGCGTAGGCTGCAAAAACGGTTAAAGAAACCCAAAAAATATGTATGAAAGAATGATTCCTCTTTAAGTGATCTAAATAAAGTAAACGACGCTATACCTATGTCTATCTTTTAAGATTAACTTACAAGGGACACAATCGACGTCGTGGGTACCAGTCTAAGTCTATATAAAGATGCAGGGGTTTGAAAAAACTAATTTTGATCCCCAAAATAAATATTCTTCGCGGTCGAAGTCGCTAGTGATAGACTTTCAAATGATACTAAGAGACTTTTAGCTAGTAAGTTAAAAAAAAAACAATAGTGCTACGCTACATACGCCACTAAACCATCAATGTAATATACTTAATGTTGTAAATAATGAAGTCACAAATTTTGCTGTTATTAGTGTAAAATGTATATAAAGACAAAAAATCAATCATATGGGAGTTTCTATTCCTAGTATATAGTTTTTCTTTGCATTTATAAAGTTATTGTGACGTGATTTTATCGGCACGAGGCATTGTTAAGGCGACGCGTGTACCGTCAAAGGAAACTTATACGTTTGTCTATGTGAGGGGAAGACGGGGATTATTCAGGTTTGTTGTGTGCACGAGGGGAAAATGGGTCAGTCGAAAGTTTTCTCGAGTTTCTGCTTCATCAATAAGGGGATGGAAAATGGGAAATGTTTTCGAATATTATTGGATTTTAGAGAGGTTGACGGGTAATGAATTTTTAAAACATGTTTTATACTTTATGGGCGTAGTTTAAAATGTTTATTATCTTCACACTCAATCTTAGCATTTTTATATGCAGTCTAATTTTGAAAATAGACATATTAAGCTGAAGTTTTTTACAACGTATGGAATAAAAGTTTAGAATATGACACCTTAAAGAACGGGATGTCAATACATCCTTACCTTTTACAGATACACGCCGTAACCATACTACCTTTTTTTAATACTGTCTGTAGTTTACGCGAGTGGTACATATTAAAACGTTTAAACGGTTAAACTTATTTGAAAATTATTTTAACTACAGCAGAACGTTTCGGTTGCTTTGCAATAGCCGTGGTCATGGGGAGACAAATAAGTTTAACTAGTATATATATCGCGTTATAAACCGTTAAAGCGTTGAATTTAAATACGTATTTTAATAGGAAGTTGAAGAAGACCACTGAGCAATTCTTATAAGCATTGTAAAACGCTGAATAGTGGTTGCCAAGATCATTTTAAGCTTCAGCGAGAAGCGTGAAATTAGTTTTCGACAAACTAAAGAGGTTATTATGGAAGTTAAATGCGTTTTAAACCTCACCAATTCAAAAATTTACTGCTTCTTGTGTTCTTGAGAGGAAAAAGCGAGTTATTCCTCAACTCTTTTATGTCTGCACATTTTTTAAATAAAATGTTCCCACCTTCTCTTATACTGTAATTGGACTTTGCAATCTGTATTGGGAAAATATAATATAAAAAATGTGTTCCTAAGTCCTCAACAACTGTTTTTGAATCATTGATATCGATATTCCCAAAACATTTTTCAAGGATACGAGATATTTTAGATTTAATAAAGGGCTTTTTTAAATTACAAAACATTTTTATTGACAAATATATTAGGCACGTTACGCAGACAATTAGCTGAAATTTCAAAGGTAAACACATGACAAATATGCGATCCCTGTAACATACGATGAAATTTAGACTGAATTGTCTCGTAACGAGTTGAAATGTGAGTCAGGTCAACGACCTCATTATACTTAGGCCCGTAGCCACGTGCAAAATGTTTCGTTTGTCGCGAAACGAGGCATTGTTACGTTTACCTCGTGTTATAATTACAAGAAGTTTATTAATTGTATATAATTTTCGTTGGTGTAACGGTAGCGATGTATGGTTAAAAGTCAACGGGTCGTGGGTTCGACACCGGGTCCAACATCTTCCTGATCGAAATATATTTTCTCTGAAACATGTTGGACTTCGTCTGGAAACATTAAATGGGTGGTTGGAATATCGAAATTCTGTCCGGGTCACGAATCACGGTCCACAGATGAAAAGCCGTCGCTTTCTTAATATCTAAAGCCAAAATAAGTCAACAGCGCTTCTTATTGGATTAACTGGAATATTACACCTACCATCAATAGAACTCTATGCTTATCTGTCCTTCTCTATCATAAGAAAATGTGTTGGTTAGTTATAAAAAACATATAATCATTTAAAAAATA